CCCCCCACCTGCACTCACCATTACATCATGATTTGCACTTTCCTCTCTCGTCTTCTAACCTGGTCATAACCTGTAGCCATTTGGAGTCTTTACATCTGTCAAACTGTGATTTTTGTCTCTTTTGTTCCATTTGTTCCCAGAGGTAATAATATATGATGGTAAAGTATCTTCTGTAACTGTTAAACCGCGATGAATAAAGATGCAGTAGTACTACAGAAGAACTAGGTAGAGAATAAAAGAAGTCAAAATGCATTTTTTTAAAAACATTTTTGTGTGGAGGGTTGTGTGGCTGTCAGTAGGGGGCAGCATTTAGTCAACTACAGTGTCATACCGGAGTGAATAGGCGTGAATGAAGCTAAGATCTGTAACATACATTTACACACCGTTGACTCTACAGATGTTAGGACATGCTTATATGTTCCACCTGCACTCAGTCACATGGACGAGGACAGACTGGACCGTTTTGGTTTCTTCAAGATGTTTCACCTGTCATTCAAGAGGATTCTTTAGTTCTGACTGACCGCTCAAGAAAAATCTGGCATTTTATCCTCAGTTGCTGAATATGTGGGCCACAAACTCCCGTTTCAAACCTTCAGTCAAATGAAACATGGTAGCAGTGGGTCAGGGTGTGGTCACATCTGTGTCACTGTAACAGATTTTTATTCAGGCATTCAGCCGCTTTGAGGAACAACGAGAGAAGCGAGAACTGAGGGAGCGTTTTGGATAAGAACTGAAAAAAAAAAAAGAGACACAGACCTACAGGACAACCTCTGTCCCTACGTGTCTTCTCAGTCAGTCTCACCTATTCCTGTTTTCTGTACATGCATGTCAGCAGGTAGGAAATCCATTTTGACGACTAAACATCCAGAGGAAGAGTCTTCTCTTCTTTACAGCAATTGTTTTACACCCACATGACAAACACACAGTGATGGGAGAGACGACGTGTTCCTCCATGTCAATGAAGACACTGTCACATGACAGAAATCACTCAATGCACTGCAGCGATTGATAACAATAAGGGCTGAAACCAACCATTACAGTCAGTGTGGATTAATCTCTGCATTATTCTTATTAGAAACTCATTGGCTCTTCAGTGCACATGCCTGATTATTAGTAAGTACAGCATTTATTTTTCATATCCAGGGTTGCTGGTTCAATTCCCGACTCGTAGCAATTCCTATAAGGCTGTGGTTCTCTATTATTTTCTGTCATGCCCCCCCTTGAGGACAGAAATGTTTTCACTCTTTC